TCATACTTTGAATTACTTTATTGAAATTAATCCGTGCTTGCTTAATCACAAGAGCTGACTAGTAATTAAGCATGTATATCCTTACTCATATATATCCCATATGTAAAAAATTAGTGTTATATATTATTCGAAACCCAGTCTTGGACTTTCGAGTGGTCCATTCCATTATCTTCAGTCTATTCTTCCCAACCGAAAGAACCATCCCTTCTTTTTTCTCTATACAAAAATGCAAAAAATTATGAATGATATAAAACATGATCAACGTGCATGTGTACGTTACCAATCTACCTAACATGTATGGCCTCCACATACGAATTTCTCCTTTCACATACACATCACAACGAAGATAATATAAGCCGCTCGACTTCAAATACATATTATGTCATACACTTGGTATCAAAATAATGACAACAAATCTTGCTCATGATTTTTGAAATGACAAATATTGCATGAAATTACTTTGTTTAGTTAGAAATATATTACACAATATGAACTCTTTAATGGATCACCATTGTCTCTATCCAGTCTTTACGAGTAGAAGCGTAGAAAGGTTAACCTTTGTTGTCTTAATTTACGATTTTTGACCCTGTAGGAACCAGCCATAAGGCCTAGGAAGTTCTTGCAACGATCGGGACTCGAAAACCGAACTCCTCTTCCTTGAGTCAAACCAAGGCCCAAGCTCTCTTTCTACCTCACCTAACTAAGGGGAAGAACTCTTTTTTCTCCGTACATATCATTATATTTCTTTCTTGTCCTAGTAGATTTCTTGTTCTCGAACTTTAACTTACTTAATCATCTTAGCGCCTTCCAAAACTCTCGTTCGAAGACATTTTCTTGCTAATCTCGTTCATTCACAAGATGAGAGACTAAATAAATAGGCCTTAAAAGTTCAAATATGTTGTATTAAAAACATAATACAAACTTACTTCTGTCTCTTCTAATTTTACATTGTCAAAAGCTCATAACCTAGTATAGAAAAAGGATGCCAAAAAAAAAAACATTTCATCGTGCAAAACTAAAAAACCGTTTTTCTCTAAGTAGTCTTTTTATCCATGTTCCGAACGAGCTGCTTCATCTGAAACCTCCAGAACAAGAAGTAGGCCAGGCCCAGCCCAATCATCACGTACAAAATTACATTCTCGTCCTCGCTCTCCTTCGCCGACCGAACCTCCTCTATCCTAAACCACTCCCTCCCTCCACCCTCCGCATTCCCCAAAATGCCCTCCATCACGCTCCCATATAACACGTACGCCCTGTCCTCCGCCGCCGCCACCACCGCCGTCGCGAACCCTTCCTTGTCCTCCAGCTCCACGGAGTCGAACACCGCCGCCTCCGCCCAGCTGTCGTCGCTCTTCAAAAACCACAACCTCTCGTGCGACACCACCAGCGCGGCCCCATCCCGCCGCCGCACCGCGATCCCGTCGGCGTGCATCAGATCCACCGGCAGGATCACCCGCCTCGCTCCGCCGGTCACCTCGTCGACCTTGAACACCTTCCCGGTGTTGCTCTGCACCACGAGCAGGTACCCCTTGCTGACGTATGCCAGCCCGTTGAGTCCCGATTCGCTGTACGGCAGGTCGCGGTCGACGGGGTAGTTTGTGAATTGATTGGATCTGGAGAAGATCGACGCGTTTCCTTCCGGATCTACTTTCCAGATGAAGTTCCCTTCCTCGGTCCCCAAGGAATTGGTGACGTACGCGTTGCCCTTGAAGTCGACGGCCACCGCGTTGGCGACGGGGCGGCCGACGGTGGCGCCGCCGTCGGGGAGGGGGGAGAGGAAGAGCTGCTTGCGGGTGCGGAGGTCGTAGGCGGCGAGGGCGTTGAAGATTGGGAGCGGAGGCATGGAGTGGACGGCGGCGAGGAGGCGGTGGTTGACGGAATCGACGGCCAGGCCGAGGATCGAGGCGTTGGGAGGGAGGGAGAGGTCGGTGATGAGGGTGTCGACGACGCCGGCGTCGGAGACGGTATGGATCGTACGGTGGCGGAGGGATCCGACGATGAAGTGCTGTCCGGAGCGGTCGTAGGCGAGGCCCTCCGGGTAAAGATTTGGGGATCGGAACTTGATGACGTGTGGCTTTCCCGCCGTGGATGGGATTGGCGCCATCAGGAGGATGAGAATTGAGATGACGAACGGGATGGGAGAGATTGCTGCCATGGCGGATTGAATTTGATTGAATGGATTGATTTGGGGGCCGCTAGCTAGGGATTTGGAGTTGGCTTTGGCGATGGGATTAAGGAATTTTGTTCGGAAAGTGGTCAACTGACGTCCGTCGCTGGCCACCAATTATTGGATAAATTAGAGCTTAAAAATTAGTTTTTATTAAAACATTGTAGTGGAGTTTTTTAACTAATAATTAGGGAACATTTTTTCATATTTAACAATATTTTGCTTAATAAGTAATAACTAAAAGATTAGTTAATATCTTGCAAATTGCTGAAGGAGCTCCATAATTCTCGGAGGGCGAAGTTTTGGACGAGCGGCGACTGAACTTAGGGTTTCTTCGACGTGATGTCGGCGGACGCAGTTCCGCCGGCCGGGGGAAAGCCTCCCTTTGCATCCACGAACGAAGCGACTGCTGGCCAACGTAGGCCTCCCACGGAAACGTCGTCCCCTAACCCTAAAGGGGATAGGGAGGCGCAGCATACCAAGAAGAAGGCAAAGCAAACGGCGCCGAACCACAACGTCGCGCCGGAAGGGGAAGGCTCCGGCGAGAAGGTTACGAACAGAAGGTCTCCGCCGACCAGTCCACGGCCAAACGCATGGTCGCAAGGGACGGGAGCAGCGCGCCGGCTCTTCGGCGGTGAGGTCCGCATGGATGAGTGGTACACGGCTGACTCTGACAGTGAAGACGCGGCGACGGCTATGCGCGAGGATGGATTGGAGGAGGGTTTCGATGGGGAGGTGGACCCTATGTGCCCGCCGATATATTTTACCGCAGCTGAGGAAAGGTCTTTCTGTCGCAATCTACGGTCGGCCCTCATTGTGAAAGCCCTGGGTCGATCAGTATCGTACACGGCGGTTTCCATCCGCTTGAATGCGATCTGGGCAAAGGCTGGAGGGATCCAAGTAACGTCAATGAAAAAAGGATACTTTCTTGTTCGGTTCACAAGTGGTTTAGATTATGATAGGGCAGTTATGAACGGACCTTGGACGATAGGACCTAACTACCTGTCGGTGCATATGTGGGATAAAGATTTCGATCCATACGACCACGAAGTCTCATCGACTCTGGTTTGGGCGAGACTCCTGGATATTCCGATCCAGTACTTCCACCAGGATGCAGTCATGAAGATTGGGAGGCGCATTGGCAAACCCATCCGGATCGATGAAGCCACTCGCACAGCAGCTCGCAGTGACTATGCCCGGGTCTGTGTGCAGGTGGACCTAACTCGACCCTTGCTGTCGAAGTTTTCTATCAGAGGCAAAAAATACTTCATCCAATATGAAGGGCTGGAGAAGATCTGCCTGAACTGTGGAATCTATGCTGATAAGAGGGGCTGTTCCTGTGATAAGTCGCAAACACCAATGGAGGCTGAAAATACTGAACGGGAACCCTCACCAGTACCTACTCAAGCCGAACCTCTCTATGGGGAGTGGATGATTGCTAAACGCAAACCTCGTAACCAGAAAAAGGACCAAGGGTCGGCTTCTAACCAAAAGGGGGGAAAGGCGGATCAAGGGAACCAACCTAATGTTGGGGGATCGCGCTTTGCAACACTAGGGGAGGAAGTAGAAACACAAATGGAAACTGAACCCGTGCAAACAAGTGAAATGACCCCAGACCCTGTGCAGCATTATTCGGCCAGCAGGGGTAAAGAGTTGGATCAAGTGAATGATCAGGGGAGGCCAGTGCGAACGGAGAAGGGGCCCACTAAGCCTAGGGCAGTCCATGCTACTGTTCCTCTCTCCAGTAGCAATGAGAAGAGGACGGGCAGATCAAAGGAATCCCAATCAAATCAGACACTTCTGGGAGCAGATGCAATCCGATCCACTCCCGTGAGCAGCGAGTCGCCTCCGATGCTGGACAAGCTAGATGGTGGGCTCAACCATACCCGGGTGATCGTGCCCTCGACCGATGTCGGGGTGAAGGACAGGCCGCCCGACCTCAATATGACCAAAGAGCCAATGGGATCAGATGCTACGAGAGATAACATGAAGAATTTATCTTCGGGGATGCAAATCGACGGGTCTCTCCCGCCGCCTTCGTGAACTAAGGGAGTTACCTTTACCCTCCTCTTAATTTTATGGATTATAAAGTTTTTTCATGGAATTGTAGGGGTGCAGGGGGCAAGGATTTTTTACGAGTTTTCCGAGAGTATCGTAGGAAATCCAAGCCTCATATAGTGATCATTGTGGAACCCAGAATTAGTGGGGACCGCGCTCTTGAGGTTATTCGGAGAATGGGATATGATAGGGAACTTATAGTAGATGCTATAGGGTTCTCTAGGGGAATTTGGATTCTGTGGAATTCTAGTGACCTGAACATTACTAGAATCAACGCTAACCAACAATGTCTTCATGTGCAGGTACAGGGATTGCATTCTCAGGACGCTAACCAACAATGTTTTTCGAACCAACAATGTCTTCATGTGCAGGTACAGGGATTGCATTCTAGTGACCTGAACATTACTAGAATCAACGCTAACCAACAATGTTTTTCGAACCAGATGCACAAAGGTGGACCCTGTATTATCTTTCAGGGCGAAGCAACGAGATTGACAGTACTCTTTTTGCAGGAACCTGTTGGCTTTTGTGGAAGAATAGGAATGGCCTCGTGTTCCAAGGCGAGTTGAAATCCCATACACATATCCAGTTCCACACCAAACAGCTCCGAGACGAGATACTCAAAGCTCTTGATCAGGAGAAGAACGTTTTCGGGACTGGGGGCACCCGAGAGGAGCGCCTGATTGGCTGGCAACCACCGGCGCAAGACTGGGTCGCTGTCAACACTGATGGCTCAGTGATCCATTCTCCGGCGAGCACAACCTGTGGCGGCATCATGCGGGGGAGTGATGGCCGTTTCATTAAAGCGTTCACAGCGAATCTTGGAGGGGGTTCGATCACTCGAGCGGAGCTGGCTGGTATTGTGTATGGGTTGGATCTTGCTTGGGAACAAGGGGCCAGGAAAGTCCTTCTACAAACAGACTCAGTAACTGCAAAAGCACTGATTGATAGCGCGACAGAGCAACATATGCATTACACCCAGGTTGCAGAAATCAGAAGGAGACTTGACCGAGACTGGACGGTTAGGATAGATCATGTATTCCGCGAAGCTAATTTTGCTGCGGACCACCTCGCTTCTATAGGGCATTCGCACCCAGTAGGGGTGCATGTGATGGATAGACCGACCACCTCTTTGCTGTACTGGTTGTTTTTTGATCGGGTGGGGAGTGAAACCCCCCGGTTTGTTCGTCAGTAATAAAGGTTAGGGCGCCCTTTGCGCCCTGTTTCTACCAAAAAAAAAAAATTGCAATGCACACTCCAAAGCTTGGATATATCGATTAATCGATTCTTAGAGTCTCGACCTGATCAATGACGCAGCTGTCGTTTGAATGAACGAATTCAATGATGAAACTGGATATAAACTGTACTAAGAACATTTGTAAATGCAATTAGTTGATTGATTAACCATTTTGGATGAATTCGTTTCTCTTAGAATTGGATAGATTTGGAGAATACATGGTTTCTTAAGTCTCTTGTTTCTTGTTTTGTTGCAACCATCCAAAATGAGAGTTGTGGTCCTTGTGGATGGAGGTTCCATTTCACAAACCTCTTCATCCAAACAACTTTCTCTTGAAATCAACTTTTACCAATTCCCCAAATGCCTCCATTTTTAGAATCACTACCTCCAAACGAGGTGATTTATTTGGAGAAAGGAAGCATTCCAAATGAGCCTTCAACTGAAATGCATTGCCCTTATTTTACAAGCCACGCCAAACTAGACTTCACTCGCACAAACCCAGACCAATCTCTGTAGAGTTTGGTCCAACATTTTATTCAACGAGAAAAACTCCAAGCAAACCGAACTCCAACTTCGTCGCTTCAAATCGAGATGCTACATGGAACTCCCCTGCCAGTAACTCCACGCTCCGAGAACGGCTTCAGGAGCTCATAAGGATAGACGCCAGCTCCGCTGCGATTTATCTTCTCCGAGTCTGCATTCCTCGAATCGATCTCGCCCATAATCGAGTGCATCCTGCCGTTGAACTTCTCGAAAGCCGCCTTGATCGTTGGTTCGTCCGCCCACGCCAGCTCCATCTTCTCCCCGAGATACTCCTCGTCGGGACTGTGGCTCGACAGCACGTTCAGGACGACCATCACCTTGGAAGCTTGAATCTGAGAAGGGAACGTCGTGAGAAGCACCACCTCGGGCCTCTGCATGAACAGCTTCCACTCTTCCTCGGTTGGGTCTTCGTCCGGCATCTTCAGCCTGCTGGTGGTCGGCTGGTTGGGGAAGTATCCGCCGTAAGCATACTGCCCGAAGTTGACCGCCGCGTGGTGGCCTGAGGCTACCCAGATTATGGTCGTGCAGACGCTGATGATGTCTTGTGGGGTTTGGAGACTCGGCCACCATGGCTCGTCCTTTTTGTCCTCGTGGCCCCTGTTGCGAACCTCGCTCCACCAATCTTGGAGCTCTTTATCGGAGGTGACGGTTTGGGAGTCTGGGTAGTAGTGGTTGACATACTCGGTCACCCATTGCTTGATGGCATCCCATACCAGTAGGCCGTCGTTAGCGTAAGGGTAGTCCTGGATGGCGAGTCTCACACCGTGTGGCTCAGATGAATCCTCTACAGCCATTCCACTGGAAGCACCAAACAGAAAAGAGGGTTTCAGTTGGATTAATGGGTTTCTACAAGAATTATCATATAATACTTTTCATGTCTTGCATTCTTTAGTATCTAATCCTTCCATACACTTACCAAAAGGCCAGGAAAGGGCATTCAATGTCTTGGTAAAGCCAGAAAACATTCTGTCATAACATTGTAGTACATTTACAGACGTTAAAGCCAGAAAAGACCATACAATGTAGAAATCACTCACCGGTTAATCAGATCATTAGGAAGTCCCTCGTTGTCGAACCTCCACACTTTATCATAAACTAGAGAGCTAGCCCCGATAGAGTACTTGAGAGGAGCGAAAGTTGACTCGATAACTCCATCGGCATTGATCAGGCCTTTCCTTGCTTGTGCATTGATCTCCATCGTGTATCTGAAGTGAGGCTTCAAGAGACGATGGATCGGATGCATCTCGCTGAGCTGACGTTTTGCTGCAATGATATACGGTTCTGTACAGCAATGAGTTCTCAACCTGCAAGATAATTAAGCAAACTTTACGAAACAGTGCTTGGACAAGAGAAAGACCGAATAGTCTATAATACATATCAAAATTTCAATGTTCCCAACGACACAGCAAGCCAGCCCATTTGCCACATCAACTCTCTTGGAGTCCTAATACCCTGCACCAAGTCCATAGACTAGGGGAACCAGCAAACACATACCAGTGGCTAATAAGCTGGTGATACGATGAATCATGGGCCAGAACATGAGATTTGGCTAGCCGCCACAACCAGACATCTGTAGCAGAAGCATAATTTGGTGTGTAGACTCCTTTCCACTGTGGCTTTTCCCCCAATGGTGGCCGAGTGAGTTCGATTGCTAAAGGCCTCAGTGTGCCAGACGGGGCGAGGAAAAACACTGTTCGTGACCCATATAATGTTGTGTGGTCGAGCTCTCTGGCTTTACCCACCAACGGTAACAAGATATCGTGGTAGTCAAGCATGAACAGTTTCTTTTGTTGAATTGCCTACAAAAAGCAACAAACTCAATGTCAATGAATCAATAGGAACTGACTTAATTGCAGAAGTGGAGGACTTTCAGCAATTTCGGATCACAAGGTTCCATTACCTCGTCCAGTGTTGTGTAGCCTCTGATTTCTTTCTCGATGATTTCTTTGGTGATACCAGACTCCTGAGGACCATAAACGGCAGGGTCCAGGGTACCCATAATTGGCCACTCCTGAAAAGATTCCAAATGGAGAGAGAGGAGAGGCATAAACTTGATTAATTCACAATTTTTAGAAACATGATGAATTGCAAATAACATGGGGGTGGTATCTATTTTTTCATGCTAAGTTTCATCCCACCTTAACCAGCTGTATGGTACATGGGTTGACACCAGCAAGTGTCTGCCGAGCAAATTCCTCATCGGTGAACCAGAAAAAGCTGTTTCCTGAAGCGACATAAAATCTTGGAGTTATCAATTTGCAAGTGACAAAAAGATCATAAAGCTAACGAAGTTAGATCTATATGGAAAATAGCCATAATCTAGATTGCAAGACTTGGACTCGATAACATTTATCGCAATATTAACAACATACTGAAAGCCATTGGGAAACCAGAAAAAGTAATTGCTTCAAGTCAGCCACTTACAATTAACATGCAGGAACCATCAGAAAAAAAAAAAAAATTAACATGCAGGGAAGAGATCACAAAGCTCTAATTTTGGTAGCAAAATCTAGCTTTTTTCTCTCGATTAAAATACTCTGGCAGTGGGAAAGAACCAAGACGCAAACCTAACACATTCTCGCAATAGCAACAGAACACTTACTGAAGGAGATGAGTACATCTCCTCAAGACAGACTCAACTCCTACGTTGGGGTTGGACCAGATCCGTTCATCAGCTGAAATTGGAGTTGCCACTTGCCAGTGGAGTATCATATGAGAGAGATCAAAATAGCATATTGCATTTGCTCTCCAAACAACATTAACATTCAGAGGAGCAGCAGGCGAAGAGTTTTCTTACTATCCATTGTCGGAGGGACGTCAAACTGCAATACGTCATTGCTTCCTTCAACGGAGTTCCTGATGAGCATAGGCAGGAAAGCTTTCAAAGACGCTTGAGAATAAGGAGGCAAGTTAAGCCCTTGGGCGAACATCTTATTAATGGCTGTGAAGTGTGGGAATCCAAGGTTTTTGTCGATAAAGACAGTTTCCAGCATTGGCACCAAGCCTTGTAAAAGCGTAAAAAGTTTCTTCACCCCAAACTCTAAACCCTTAATCTCTGAGAACTCTTCGTCGCGAGGCACATAGTAGTCACCACTATCCGTTCTCTCCGACTGCGGATCTGTACCCCAGAAGCAGATCATATTGCCGCATGTAAGTGAGAAAATAGTATATGACTGCCATGGAACTGAACTTGGCAAGTTTAATTTAGTACCTTTTGATGACCGCGGTCGTCCTGTTCTACAACGCCTGGGGTAAGGACGTTCTTTGCTACCACCCAGCACCTCTCTTTTCAAGTCGGGACTTTTATCAGGGTCCCCAAGATCATTGTAAACGTCGTAGTCATATATCCTGTCACCTTTCTTGCGCTCGCCTGAACCATTCCCGCGAACAGCCACAAGCTCATCATTTCGCAACTTCTTCAACCCTTCTGGGGTATCAGATGGCAAGTACGACTGGCGGAAACAACAGGGTTAAAAAAACACACAACAACCCAGTTAAAATGTAGATTTCTAAGCGACAATTCATCGAACACCTGGTGAGCAACGACAGAGAATTGAAAAAAGGAAAAGAAGATAGCACGAGGAGGAAATCCCACCTTGGTACTGAAGAAGACCCTTTTCGGCTTGCCGGTGATGCTAGCCGGAACCCAGGACTGGCAATCGATGTTGACGGAACCCCCGTCGGGTAAGCCGGTGACGACAATGTCCTTGAGGAACATCTCCCTGACGTGCAAATTCTCAACGCGCATGGCGCCGACCGGCCCGAAATCGGCGGGGATGTTGAAGTATGCTTCATACTGGTACTGCAACCCATTTACGCCGGTCCACTGAGCCAACGATCCCACCGCCGGCTTCTCCTTTCCCGTCTCTTCCGAGATTGTGAAGAAACGGAAATGTTGCAGTTAGTGACCGGTAAAAGAAACGAATTAGAGGCTAATAAGCTGAGCGGGCTTGGGCCTATAAAATGTGAGGCCTTTTCCCTTTTTATATGAATCGAATCGTTAATCCTTATTTATCAAATTCAGCATTATATTAATATGTAAATAATTGAGTTAATGGGACCTATCTAAGCATTTGCGTAAGACATAAAAAGTCAAAACTTAAAAAAAATTTAGAAAGAGTAACATTGTAATTACATGGTTTTTTTACGAAATCATCGTCTAATTAGCGTGGCCAAATGATAATTTGGGCCATGTTTAACATAAAATTAATCGTCTTTAGCGGTAAGGCCACAACAAGAAAATATTTATTTTGAAGGACTATGTTAGGGGAAAAAAAATATAAGGGTAAACCTTCATAGTACAAGGACCAAATATACCATTAACTCTAAATAAAATATTAAAACTATAGTTGTGGAAATTGTATTAAATATGACCACGCACTCATCATTTTGTATTTTTGGTAAACTAAAGTTTAGTCTAAAGCAAAATAAGAGACTACATCAACAACATTGTGTGACATAGTACATTACGAATAAAGTGTTAAGTTATTACGAAAGTCTTACTTGTGTCGAGCTCGGCCGAAATAAGCTCTAAACGGAGGGACGCACCGATCAGGTCCTGAATTGTGCTTGGCACAAGCAGGTTGTCCTTAAGGAACCCTCCGATCGTCTGGTTCACGGTCACAACCGCCCTCACTTTGGCCGCGGGCGAGAATGGGTTCAACCCACCGAGCCCAGTACCAAGCCCAACACCTAAGCCACCGGTGATCCCTCCAGCGAGCCCACCGAGCCCACCGCCAAGCCCAAGTAAAGCCTTCACCACAGTTCCCTTCCCCCGCTCCGCCACCCGGCCCAAATTCCCACCGCCGTTACAATTACTCGTCCCGGCAAGTTTGAGCAACACGGCACCGCCACCGTCGAGGAACGGCTTCTCCGGGTTGAACCGAGTCAGAGAAGCCGGTCGGAGTCCCGACGATTGATGAACCCGAAGGATCTGCATCTTTCATGAAATGAGATGAGAGAGACCGGGAAAGATTGGTTTTGCATGCATGTGTTAGTGCTTCTTCTTTTTTTTATAGATTGTACACGTTTTTTGGTTTGGTTTTGGAGTATGATGGTGACACATAATTTGGTGGGTTTGCATGGAGAGCAAGTTTCGAGCTTTCTCTGACTTTCCTTTCCATTTGTAATCCATGACCAACAATGGGGAACACATAGGCAGTACACATGGCCTTGTATGCTTGTCGTTATTATGCAAAACCAAACCGAAATTACCCAACAGGTCCGACCAATCAAAGATATTGTGAATTACTAACAACAACAATTAGAATAGGGGGGAATTTAATAGTACTCTTGTGAATTTATGGCTGATGTTGATATAAATGTGGAGCTAAAATATATGAACGGGAGGCTCAATTATTCTATAATTGAAGGACGATTAATCATCACTATATAGCAAGGTTGTCAACCCGCGGGTCGACCCACTTTGACCCTGACCCGGTGAAAAAAATGGGCCGTACGCACCCGCCGGGCCGACCGCTACAAGGTACCGGGTTGGAGGTCAAATTGTGTCATTTTTTTCTTTGGTTTGCGAAATGCGCTTATTTTCCGGTTTTTCTTTTCGCCTAGCTCAATTTTTGGAATGCTAAGTTGAACATTTGAATATTTATGTTATATAAGTGTGTGTGAATTTTCACTATATGTTGGATCTATATACGATATATTATTTTGGTGTAATATTATATGTTATAACTCATATGTTAGATAAGATTTGATATAATTTATGAGGATAAGTACAATATAATGACTTTTTCCATATTTCCGGGCCAAACCGGGCTAAAATGGTTGACCCATTAACCCTTGACCCACTAGCTCAACCGGGTCCGGGTCAACCCGCGGGTTGACAACCTTGCTATATAGACTTCTCCAAATCCAAATAAATCTAAACACCGATGATTTTTTTTAGATTGGCTCGTCACACTCAAATGTCTAATCAAATTACAGACGTGTTGAGCGTCTGACTAGTGTAATAAATGAATAAGTTATCGTAAGTAAGATGATAAGTGAGTTAGGTTTCACGGCAACAACAACGTGTTAGGTTCAAACAATTTCGTATCATCAAATGAATGAGTTGTTGTAAAGCAAACGAATAACGATACTAAATATTACGCAATCGAGGAAGAACAATAAATATTACAACACAAAGATTATAACTCGTATTGAAAAATTTGCACAACTCTCGAAAAGCACACCAACTGCCTGAATCATAGTAAAAAAATCTTTTATTTGCCAAATGAATTGGAGATGGTACATTGTTAACAAAAATGATTAGTTAATTGGTAATTTGGTATTTGATGGTGAAAACCTAGCACGTTGGGTTTATTTGCTAAAAGAAACAAATAATAGAGCGGCTCATTTTGTCATCTTCAAATGGTTTAAGGACTTATATAGTTATTAACCAAGTATCAAATTCTGGCCCATGGATCCTCTTCGCTAGTGGGCTTTTTTGCCTTGGCTGGCCCTTATTTTTGTTGGCATAGTAGATGCTTTTCCTTGTAACGTAAAACTGTAACACACCTTCCGCGCGAGAATCCATTATATCGGTCCATTTCTGCCTCTTGTCATCAATTTATTAATCGTGTTTTGTACATTCCCTTCCCGGCGAGAAAAAGGAGAACGACGAACTCTCTGGCACTCAGCTTCGGAGCTTCAAAAAATTCCCTCCATTCATTCACTCGATCGCTTCCTCCATCGCATTTCTCAAACAGAAGTGTTCGTTCAACAATGGCGAGTTCGCCCAACATCGCGATTATGGGAGCTGGCATCTTCGTGAAGACTCAGTACATACCTAGATTGGCCGAGATCTCCAATCTCATCGTCCTCAAAGCAATCTGGAGCCGTTCCGAGGTAAAAGCAATACCCAATCACTCCATTTCCGTAGATTCCACTCTTCCGCCCCATCTTCTCATCTCGTTTCTGTGCGGGTCTCAGGAATCGGCGATGGCGGCCGTGGAGATAGCGCGTCGGCATTTCCCCGACGTGGAGTGCAAATGGGGGGACAAAGGACTCAACGAGATTCTCAACGACGAGTCCATCATCGGCGCCGCCGTGGTCCTCGCCGGACAAACTCAGGTCACTCTCTCTAGATTTTTTTGTCTCGTTATTTTGCTGCTGGTGTGATGAATCGGAGCTCTGGATATGTGGTAGTTTTAGTCATGAACTAGTTCTATGTATTATAGGTTGAGATGTCTCTGAAGCTGTTGAAGGCCGGGAAGCATGTTCTTCAGGGTAATGAAACTTGGTATTGTAGCATTCTCTAATCGTCTATGTACGTCCTCGTCGGTGAATTCGTTCGTACTGACTTTTGGGTTCTTGTTCTTCAATGCCATCTGCCATTGCTTGGTTTAAACTTGGTTGATCTGAAGAGAAACCTGCGGCAGCTTGTAAGTGCTGATCTCCATTTGAGAATTGAGATGAAGTGCTGCTTATGTTATTCGAAATGTGCTGTTAACATTACTTATGCGAGAATGGTTGGTTGTTTTTGTTGATGCAGCGGCGAGAGAGATTGAAGCTGCACTCTCAGGCTACAAATCCATCTGTGCTAAAACCCCTGGGCAGCCAATCTGGGCTGTTGCAGAGAACTATAGGTTTGAACCTGCTTTTGAAGAGGTATATTTTGTATTCCAATTGTCTGATCTTCTATCAACTAGCAGACACTGTGATTTGATTGTGATTCGGTTACTCAGGGTAAAAGGTTGATGGCTGAAGTGGGAGAAATGATCAATGTACAAGTCATCATTGAAGGATCAATGAACAGCACAAACCCCTACTTCTCGAGTTCGTGGAGACGGAATTTTACAGTAGGTCCTTCTCAATGAACAGTCATACCTGTTTTCGTATCTCGCATTGAGTCGGTTTATTGACTATAGTTTGTGTCCAAATCGTGGGATATAGCATTTGGGACCAGATAAAGGTGCTTGGTTCTCTCTTCTACATACAAAGAAAACCTTTTTAACTTTCGGAGTCTGCAATATACAATCAACAGTTCTCACAAGTTATAATGTGGTATTCTTTCTTCTTATCGACTGGTGATCAAACCGGAACAATCCAGATTCCAGAATGACTTCTAGCTTCTGCTTCAGAGTTCCTTACCAAGCATTTCTTGCATTTTGCAGATAGAGCTAGTTCACTTACCATTCATTTCATTCTTGAGATTGTCTTCTGTCCAACTTATTCATTGGTGCCTCACTTGCAGGGTGGTTTCATTCTTGATATGGGTGTTCACTTCATTGCTGGATTGAGGATGGTAAACTTGAGAACCTTATTTGATTATGTTGTTTGCACATTCTCCATCAATTGACCAAAACTCGCCTTTTATGTCCATATGATATGACCAGCTGGTTGGATGCGAGGTAGCCACGGTGTCTGCCAGAACCTCTCATGTGGATACCATCTTACCGCCACCAGACAACATATCTGCAGTCTTGTAAGCTTCTTCTGTGCTAAACTCTTTATTTCTCACAAATAGTACAATACCCCGACCAAAAATCTGAAACCTATTCTACGACATTTGCTTTTCTTAGCCAGTTAGAGAATGGATGTTCTGGAGTTTTCGCAATGGTTGTCTCATCACGATCACCTAAGGTTTGTGAATGGTGTCTGTTCCATTTTCTGTATTGTGCTAAACTATGTAATCACACCTCATTTGAATGCTGTGACTTGCAGGTAGTCTGGAGAGTTGCTGGCTTGACAGGCACGCTTCAAATCCAGCGTGGTAGCGAAGATGGACGCCATGGTTACCTGGTACAAAGAAAATCCCTTACCTATCAGCACTGCTCATGTGTTTCCATTTTTTTTATGTCTTCAATGTAGCCACTTCCGATGTTTCAGGTATCCTTTTTCGGCGGCGATGGACAAAGCAAAAGCAGCTTCCACGCATTCAGCGGCGTAACAGAAGAGTTGAAAGTATTCATACGTGACATAACACAAGCTTCCCTTAAGGTACTGGCAGAAAGATGGTACTACTACCACTTCCAATTCATAACTATCTGCTTCATGGCTCTGTCGATCATGTTTGTCTGTAATGTGCCCTTTTCTGCAGAAGGAATGTGGGTATGATGCCGAGCCACGACTCACTTTCTTGGAGGGTGCTCGAGACGTGGCTCTACTAGATGCAATGCTTGAATCCGGGAGGCGAAATGGAGCCCAGGTCGAGGTCAAGCAGTTCTAGATTCTTTAAGCATAGAAAATTTTCAATTTGTCAGAGGAACGTTTTGTGTGTAGTTTTTGCTTCAGACTCTTTTTCCTGTATTGTATAGATGATGAGCATCAAAAGCGATCTAGTACTGCAGTGTGCTATGGTACTCCAACTGTTGTTAACTACCCTGTTCGTTTGGTTTTGGTGATACTTAAATCAATGCATTGTGATTAATGCATGCATTGTAATATACATGCAATTAAGAAAAAAAGAAAAATGATGTAATGTATTTTGCATTGTTTGGTTTAGTTGGTAGTTCTTTTAGTATTCTTCAACAAGTTATATTACTTTTTTGGAAAAGATCACTTTTGCCCTTACTTTTATTAGAACATATTTATATAACTAGGGGTATAATTGGAACAAAAAAGGAACCCAACAATCTTCTCAAAACTATCTCAACAATCTCAAGTTTTAGTATAGATATTTCTATCACTCATTTAAAGTGATAGTTTTCATCACATCAAGCAAACAATGCATGTATTGTTTGTGCAGAAAATAAAAAAAAATGCATTTGTGGACAATACATGCATTGTAACCAGATAGTGATCCGTCGCCATTAATTTAAGAGAAATTTCGTTATAGAGTTCGATACTGGCATGGCGACAATTTAACGATAAATTTTTGTGATAATTCAACGAGTTTAAACCTTCATGAATTCTAAGACGAATTAAATAGAAACTTATATCGGATCAACACTAATGTATTCCCCCCTTATAACTGACGATTTTCACACATTTTACATCTTCTTGTCGACCAAGGAAGGAATCACTCTCTGCTCATTCATTATCTCCACCTAAAATTGGTGGAACCCCAGTGGAAGGCTTGACATGAGATAAAAATGGGGGAATATTGAAAGTGAAAGGAAGTTGGGGGAAAGGTCAGATTCATAGAGTGGCTGGCAATTGCCATGGCGAATATGGCATCCCATCTCGGCCATGCTTGCTTCTGCGCCCATTGATGGCTAAACACTTAACAACAAGCATGTGTGTTATTCTGAAGTTCCAAAGCTGAAATTAGCCAAGCCAGGTCGGAAATACAAACGAAGGGAGTGTCCACCTAACCTAATTAGTACGAGGTCTCTTGTGATTTGTGAAGGAACCCGAGAAATGAATTTGTGTGAGCTTCATCTAAAACAGACAATATCATACTAACGAGAACTATTCGATTTCGACAAGTGGTATTAAATACTGGTTTGGAATTTGGATCCGGGGTGCAGGGCGTTAGGTTTGGTGGACCCTCGTATGGTGACCTCGGGATTTGAGAGCTGCGTCTCTCATCCTTGTGCGAAGAGCCTGTGTCATGTCCAAATTGGGATTGTTTCTAAAAGTTGGAGATCGATTCAAAATAGGGCTTATTATACAATGTGAGTTGAACAGGCTTCTTTTGGGCAGTATAGAATGGTAGTTTAGTACCAACAAAGGCGCAACAACTTGGAAGATGCAAGCATCTTTGTCAGTGAAACCGAAAGAGCCCTGATCACCACCTCCTGGCTCCTGCACATTGCATTTTCATCAGCTAAACTAAAATAATGGCATATCTTTTGTAGGGATTTTGCTGAGCCATCTCATCTGACGAAAGAAGTAGGTAGTGAATATGATATCGTGGCAAAAGAGAGAGGAGAAGAGAACAGGGGCAAGTAGTAAAGATTATAAGTAAATTATTATAACCCCAAACGGCAAACCTAACACCCACCAATATGAAAGAGACTTTATGAAGCAAGTGAAGCTCCCAGTGGCGTAGCCAGGAATTTGACTAAGGTGGGTCCAACACTAAAAAAATCATTTGTAACTTATATTAATATTTTACGAACGATGTGTTTCATATTCTGCAAAGTATGAAAATACATCCATCATCCTAACTATCAATGATGTTCCTCTCAATGTAACCAACCAAAAAATCATTCCTAATTTCATCACTCATCTGATTCCGAATTGTTTTTTCACGAAGTTCATTGCAAAAATGCTCTTTCAACACTTGTAGTGGCAACATGTAGCAACAATACCAATTTCAGAAGTCAATATACCAATGAAAACACTAGATGTTTTTTTTACACGACTATAACCCTAGATTGGCACGACAAATTCGACAACAAAGAAATGGACGAACGGGTGGTGGGTAAGAGTTTCCACTGCCGTTTGGTTGAAGAGGCAAATTCGACAGGCGATATATATTTATGATTTCAACTAGGGATTGGAAACTCAAGAATAAATAATTTATTGTGGATCCTTTATTCTGTAACTCAATTTTCATAGATAACTAAAACCAAAATTGTTTAAATAACAAAGTCTATTGCATGGCTTAGTGGAGGGACAATACGTAATAGGCAATACAACCATGGTTCGATCCCTGGCTTACACACACGTACATTTAAAATTTTGGGAATCCAAGGTGGGTCCGGGGACCCACCCTTCTCTGAGCTGGCTCCGCCACTGGAAGCTCCCATCTTAATTTACTATTAATTTACTATCCATTGCCATGAACGGTGGCGGAGCCAGAAATTTGAATGAGGGGAGATTAAAAAATATAAACTAGAGTGATTTGAATCATGGTCAATGGTGAGGGGAGGCTAATGACTTACCAACTAGTCAATTTTTAGAATTTGTTACACATTTTTCCATGTAAATTTACCTATTTTCGAAAGTTGAGTGGGACTATAACCCACCCTGAGCTTAACGTGGCTCCGCCACTGTCTATGACGACGATGGAAGTAATTAATTGTTTTCAGCAAACTCTATATATACACTCTCTGGGTTTTGTTAAGAAAAAAAAAAGTCTATGGACCCATTCCTTCATCCACGATCTCTAGCTCCCCCATCAAAATTAAACTACAAATGAAATGGAGAAACAAATGATTCAGGCTATTCGGGTTGATACGATCCTGCATTCGGTGTTAACATTCTCCACTCCACCACTGCGTTGAGCAACTAAAATCAAAACCCCCATACCTAAGAAGGGACATAGATCATATTAATTAGTTAGACGCGTGAAACATTACATATATCTTCACCGTATGTATTTTAATGTCGATCAATTACGAAACTTTTGTTACGAACGAATGATTATGTAAATGCCCAAGTACTAGTTAATGATCAGCTTTTGATTAATTATTTCCATTGTGATGAACACATGGTCTCCCTTACACCTTTCGAGAGAGGCTGCTGCTAACCCTACAGGTATTTCAGTTCAAGTACTCCTACAGAGACAAACTAGTCAGAGAGAGGCAGAGGTCAAAAGGAAAGGAAAGTCATTTTCGAAACTAAACAAACAGCACAACAGGAATGCCACTTTGCCCGCCGCTTAGTACGTCGGGATCTTCGTACAAGAGCTCCGGCAGTATTACTATTTTTTTTTTGTTTTGTTTTTGTTTCTGACTCTGGACGTGGCTCAACTGTGAACGAACACGTGAGGTTCTGATCGCCGGTCGGCTTGGCCGGAGAACCTTTTTACTGTATTTTAGATGGCATGGGGGACCATTCGAACGTTGGAGTCGATCGGAAGTACACTGATTATTAGCCACTGAACCAACATGCCTGACAAACAGCCACGTGTGATAGAGGGGAAAAAAACAAAACAAGGTAGGTTTAGATTTAAACCCAAGATTGGTAAATTACCTTCCCTTGGTCAACTCTTTGCTTACTGTTAGGGCAGGAAAAATAAATTGGATTCGTTTTAAGAATTGTAGACCAAATCGAACCGTGCAATTTGGTTCAGACGGTTAAATCATTTAAAACTGAATTAGTTTTGGTCCATAATATGCATTACGAGCCATTTTAATTTCTTAGTGATCTGGTGTGGCTGATGGTTTATTGGACCATATCAAAGAGTTAACTCATTTCTCATATCGTGTAATAGGAGAAAATTAAAATAGTAGATCGGTAGATTACCTTTTCTTGCTTCTTGGAGTAGCTATCGATGATATTGTCCTCAATGAAATAAACAATAGTATATAAAAAAATGAGAGAACGAGTTAACTCATACTAGAATTATTTCATGCATTTCATAGAAATCTGTTTGTTAAACTTTGAACAATTTAATCAAAACAAGAAGCAAATTTTGCCTACGTTAATTTATTTTGCTTTTCTTTTTACCTTCATTTTCTCTCCCCATTCCCTATTTCTCATATCATATGTGTAGTTAAGTCTTGAAAGAAGCAAAATTGTGTTAGGGAACCAAGAAGGGAAGAGAGGAGGAGGTAGTTTTGGATTAATGGGCTATCGCCGATCTCCAGGAAGATGGAAAATTGGGATTATCGTCCCCTTAAAACCATAACGAGAGACTTTGATATCTAAAGACTCATTTTACAATCATATGTAATTAGCAAGATTGGCAACCCGTGGGTTGAGCTGATCCGGTCGAGCTAGTGAGTTAAGGGTTAATGGGTCACCCGTTTTAGCTCGTTTTAGCCTAGAAATATGGAAATAGTCATTATATTGTACTTATCCTGATAAATTATATCAAATCTCATCTAACATATGAGTAATAACATATAACATAACACCAAAGTAACATGTCGTACTTAGATCCAACATATAGTGAAAATTGAAACACACTTATATAACATAAATATTCAAATGTTCAACTAAGAATTCCAAAGACTGAGTTAGGCAAAAAGAAAAATCGAAAAATATGCGCATTTCGTAAACCAAAGAAAAAAATGACACAATTTGACCTCCAATCTGATACCTTGTAGCGGTCGACCCGATAGGTGCGTGCGGCCCGTTTTTCTCACTGAATCAGCGTCAAAGTGGGTCGACCTGCGGATCAACCCGCGGGTTTACAATCTTGGTAATTAGACTGGGTAAGAGTTATGTGACTAATTCAATGTTTGAAAAATCTTTTTGTATCTATCGACTGATCGAATTGAAAATACCGAATATCGAATACAAAATGATAAGACAATTTTATTAGTAGGAAACAATTGAACCACAATTTACTACAAAATATCCTCCATTTACTTTTCCAATATAATCTCCAATTTACACTAATCACACCATACACAAGAATATGACTTTGTTCTTGCTAGAAGAAAAGCTTCAACATCTCTCTTCTTGTTAGAAAAAGCACAAGATAAAACAAAAATGGATCCTACCCAAATCAAACTCGAAGAAATGTCTCAAGTATTCCTAGCACTTGGGTCACCATTGAAACTATATCCCTTGAAATCGAATAAGAACAAAACAAACCGCCTCGCTCGCCCTCGTCAAGTGCCCAACCCCAAACCGACCAGGTTCCTCGTAACACACA